GACGACGACCACGACGACGACGACGACGACCACGACGACGAAAACGACGACAACGACCACGACCACCACGACGACGTCGACCACGACGACGACCAAGACGACCACGACCACGACGACGACGACGACGACGACGACGACAACGACGACCACAACGACGAAGACGACGACCACGTCGACGACGACGACCACGACGACGACGACGACGACCACGACGACGACCACGACGACGACGACGACGACGACGACGACCACGACGACGACGACGACCACGACGACGACGACGACGACGACGACGACCACGACGACCACGACGACGACGACGACCACGACCACGACTCGCGACGACGCGACAACCAGGACGACGACGACACGACGACGACGACGCCACGACGGACGGACAACGACGCACGACCACGACCACGACGGCGACGACGACTACGACCACACGACGCTCCACGACCACGACCGTGACGACCACTACGACGACGAACTCGACCACGAAAACGAGACGACGACGACGACCACGACCACGACGACGACGGCGACGACGACGACGACATTCGCGAGGACCACGACGTACCACGACGACGACCACGACCACGACCACGGACGACGACGACAACCCGACGACGCCGACCACGACCGCGACGACGACGACACCCCCCGAACGAACGACGACGACGACGGACGACGACGACGATCACGACCACGACCACCACGACGACGACGACGATAAACGCGACGACCACGACGACCACGACGACCACGACGACGACGACGACGACCACGACGACGACGACGACGACAAACACGACGACCACGACGACGACGACGACGACGACGACGACGACGACGACGACGACCACGACAACCACGACGACGACGACGACGACGACCACGACGACGACGACCACGACGACGACGACGACCACGTCGACGACGACGACGACCACGACGACGACGACGACGACGACCACGACGACGACGGCGACGACGACGACGACCACGACGACGACGACGACCACGACGACGACGACGACGACGACGACGACGACCACGACAACCACGACGACGACGACGACCACGACGACGACGACGACGACGACGACGACGACGACGACGACGACGACGACGACGACCACGTCGACGACGACGACCACGACGACGACGACGACGACGACGAAGACGACGTCCCTGCCGCTTTTCTCGGCCCCTCGCTGGCGCCCGCGCCTCTCGCGGGGCCTCCTTGGGGAGGAGCGGCGGCAGACACCGCCCTGCCGCTGACCTGGACCTCTTGGCGGCGCGCACAACGGGGTACAGTCGGCCCGTATCCTAAGGATGCGCGATAAGGATGCATGGGCCTTGGACGCCCATGTCGACACTTTGCGAGCGGGGCGCGGCCAACAAAAGTGGCCAAGGATGGACCGAGGAGGCAAGGATGTAAGGGTACCCTTGAGGAGGTCGCCCATCCTTCATATGCGGGTTGACTGTAGGGGGAGGGGGGAAGGCGTCTTAGAGGGAGACTGCTTCTTAGAAGGCGCAGGCCTTACATCTCCAGACGAGGCCCGCCGCTTCTAAGAGGCAGGGGTGCTTCTACGAAGCCTTCCGTCCTCCCCCTGCCCCCCTCTGCGCGTGGCCGAGCCTCCTCGGTCACCCAGCTCTCGCTCCGGGTCTGCAGGCCGGACAGGCGGAAGGCCCTTGCGGCCACGGACAGGTTCGAGGCCGCCGCGCTGGCCCGGAGCAGGCTCTCGTAGGACACCACCGTGGGGGTGAGCCCGAGGCTCAGCATCTCTTGCAGGAAGTGCAGCGCCCCCTCCCAGTCCTCGGCTACCAGCAAGCGCGACCCCAGGCTAGAGTGGCCTCTGGTGCGCGGCGTGCCGATCGCGGCGGGCGGTGCGGCCGCCGGCGGCCTGCTCGCCTGGCCCTGGCCCCCCAAAGAGCCGCGCACCAACGGCCCCTCTGGCGAAGGGCCACTGCTGCGTGTGGCACTGGAGTCCCTGCCGCACGCCCGCATCAGCGCGTTGTACGAGATCGCGTCCGCCCGGACGGCCTCGCGCCGCATGCCGCCGAGCAGGGCGAGGGCCGCGGGCCAGCCGCCGTGCTCGGCGAAGGCGCCCATGGCGGCGTTGTACGAGACCGCCGTCGGCCGCAGCCTGGCGCCCCGCAGCTCGCCGAGCATCGCCAGGGCGGCGGGCCACTGCCGCCCCGCCGCGCAGGCGGAGATGCACGAGTTCCACAGGACCACGTCTGGCCGCAGGCCCTCCCGCCGCGCGCGGCCCAGCAGGCCCAGGGCCCGTGCCCACTCCCCGCCGGACTCGAGCGCCGCGACGAGCGCGCTGTAGGCCTTGACGTCCAGGCGCAGCCCCGCCCGCAGCATCCCGGCGAGCAGCTGCAGCGCCAGGGGCCACCGGGCCCCCGTGGCGCCAGCCACCGCGGCGCTGTAGGTGATGACGTTTGGCCGGAGAGCGCCGAGCGGCATCCTCGCGAGGAGCAGCAAGGCCCTCGCCCACTCGGAGCTGCCGCTGCACGCGCTCACGGCGGCGTTGAAGGAGGCCGCATCCGGCCGCAGCTGTCGCGCTGGCATGCCAGCCAGGAGGTGGAGCGCGGGGCCGGGAACTCCGCATGGTAAAGTGCGCATGCCCTGCCTCCGTGTCCTCCCCCCTCAGGGAGAGAAGAGAGCGGAAAGGAGGGGAGGCGAGGGGAGGGGAGGGGAGGCGAGGGGAGGGGAGGGGAGGGGAGGGGGAGGAGGAGAGGGAGGAGAGAGAGGAGAGGAGAGAGGAGGGAGGGAGGAAGATAGGAGAGAGGAGAGAGGAGAGAGGAGAGAGGGAGAGAGGAGATAGGAAGAGGAGAGAGAGAGGAGAGAGGAGAGAGAGAGAGGGAGAGAGGAGAGAGAGAGAGGAGAGAGGAAGAGAGAGGAGGAGAGGAGGAGAGAGGAGAGAGGAGAGAGGAGAGAGAGAGAGGAGAGAGGAGAGAGGAGAGAGGAGAGAGAGGAGAGAGAGGAGAGAGAGGAGAGAGATGAGAGAGAGGAGAGAGAGAGAGGAAGAGAGGAAGAGAGGGAGAGAGAGGAGAGAGAGAGGAGGAAAGAGAGAGAAGGAGAGAGAAGGAGAGAGAGGAGAGAGGAGGAGAGAGAGGAGAGGAGAGGAGAAGAGGAGGATAGAGAGGATTAGAGAGGAGAGGAGAGGGAGGAGAGGAGAGGATAGTGGGAGGAGAGGAGAAGGAGGGAGAGGAGAGGAGAGGGAGGAGGAGGAGATGGGAGATGGCGGGAGAGGGTGTGGGGGAGGGCGAATGGGGGAGGGGGGGATGGAGTAGGGGGAGGGGGAGGAAGGGGGAGGGGGAGGGAGAGGGGGCGCAGAAGCGCTCCGCCGTAGAGACTTCTCGGCCCCAGAGGGTGGTTTCCCACTGGAGGCCCTTCTCCGCCGCGGTGATCAGCGCGTTGTAGGCCACCACATCCAGGCGCACACCGCCGCGCTCCTCGGGGGACGCCGGCTGCATCCACCCCGCCGATCCTGGCTGGGGCCACCTCATGGGGCCAGGGCCAGGGCGTGCGTGAGAGTGTGCTTGAAGGGGCCCAGGGACACAGAAATACATAGACACAAATCCCAGCATTCCCCACATCTTCCATGTGTCCTGGATGCTCGTCTCCCCTCCACTCCTTCCTGGGAATCGACGATCAGCTGTGCCTCTGTGTGCTGCTTTTCCCTCCGGAGTGGTCAGACGACGAGATCTGTACATGTCCACCGGGAGCCCACCGCTCCTGGGCCCATGATGGGCCTGGCCAGGCGCAAAGGATCTGTGGCCGGTTCCAGAAACCCTGAACTCAATCGTGTTGCCATCTCTCTGGGACGCATTCTCTACTTGCGCCGGCGTCCGCCGCCCTTCCGCTGGCCCCTACCAGCGGAAGTCGCCTGGTTTTACCTCCGCCGCCATCCGCCGACCTCCCGCTTCCTCGCGCCGAGGAAGGGACGGCAGCTCCTTCGACTCTCGAAGGCGCAAGGCCTTTTCTGGAACGCGCCATGTATAGATCTCGTCGCCCGATGCGTGCGAACATGGCGTTATCGCTTTGCCACGCCACTTCACGAAGAAAGTCATCACTTGCAAACGCGTCCCTTTGCACTGCCCGCCGATTGGACTCCTCGGCACGTCGGAACAGTGCGTTCAAACCCGCTAAAAGCAAAAGCAACAACAAGATTCAAAAAAAATAGCCGCGTTTCGGCAGAGCACGGCGATGCACGCGTTTTCCTCCGACGCGCAAGTGAGCACAACTACCGGAGCACGATGTGGAGATCGCCTCAACGCGAATCAGCTCCCTCGTGAGGCGACGCGGGAAGTCTGAACGCCTGAAGACCGCGAGCAAGCGGCTCCAGAGCAGCCAAACCGAGCGGTGCAAGGGAACGGCGATACGCGCACGGAGACACGCACCCACAAAAAAACAAGACGGCGAACGGATGGCCCACGGATGATTCGGCCAGGTGCACCGACGGACACGGAAAAATAGTGAGTACGGAATGACATAACGCGCTCATCGATAGCTGAGGTACCAGACAAGCACACGGGTAGACTGACACCGCCTGTACCTCGAGAGGTCGCAACGTCGCTGGCTTGCCCCGTCGCAGGGCCCGCGCAGGGCCTCGAAGCTATGCTGGAGTCTGCTGGGGGCGTTTTGAAGCACTCTTGTAACCCTGGGAGCTCAGGGGGACATCTTTGGCTCCATTGGGGCCACGCGGGGCGGCGTGTTTGGAGCGTCAGGGAGTCATCTGAAGGGTTCTGGGGCTATCTTGGAACGATCTTGGGCCGTCTTCGAGGCGTCTTGGAGCCGTCTTGCAACGCCATCTTGGGCCATATTTGGGGCGTCTTGGGCCATCGTGGGGGGTGGGGGTCGCCTGGGCCCTCTTGGAAGCCTCTGGGATAATTTCAGAGCCATCTTGGATTGAAAAGTGTAGACTGCCAGACATGTACGAAAGCAAATTGGATTTTGACGGTTCTGCCAGTCGGGGGCTATGTCCAGAGCCATAGTAGGGATTCGGGGCATCTTGGGGAAACCTTAGCGCCCCCCTGGGCCACCTTGGGGCCATCCTGAGGCGTTCTGCGCCGTCTTGAAGGGATCTTGGGGGTTGTTGGGCCGTTGGGGGCTCCTCCGGGATGCCCACGCAATCATCTCGGGTATTCATGGCGGCATCAGGGCTCGACGGGGGGGAGGGGCTTTGAAGCCCGGGGGCAGGGGTGCCCCTGCAGGTCTGACTTCTGAAACGCCAGAAGTGTCCGCAGCCACGTGAGAAACCCCCGCACGGGTGTCCGCTGCCCCAGCGGAGCAGGGCTCGCAATCGGACGCGGGTGAGGGGCCTCGGTGTCGGCACGTTCTCCCCCTCTGGAGCTATGTTGTTCCCATCGTGCTTGAGGACCACATCCCAGAAATAATCTCGAGCACCAGCAAAGTCTAGAAGCACGAACTGCCGGACACGCTAGCGAGGTGCCGAACGAGTACCGCCCTCCCAGGGACCGGCACGGGAAACCCTCCAGTTTCGGTATCTGCTTGGCGCTCGAAATTCTTGCTGGCGAGCAAGGCTAAAGCAGACCGGAACATTACAACTCTGGAGCTCCATCTCGCCGTGGAGCAGCAGCGCCCGGGTCCACTGCCGCGCCCTCGAGCACGCGCCCGCCACGGAAGCGAAGCTGACGGCGTCGGCCCGGAACGACGCGGCCCGCATCTCGGGCAGCAGCGCCAGGGACAGCGCCCACTGGGAGGCGTGCTGCAGCGCGGCGAGGGCCAGGTGCTGCCAAGGGCGGGGGAGCCGGCCCGGCCTCACGACGGAGAGCGTGTGTGGCCTCGCCCGGCCTCCACGAGGGGGGCCCTCCTGCTGGGCCCCGAGGCCGTCGGAGGACGGCCCATCCTCCTCCTCCCCCTCCTCCTCCTCCTCCTCATCCTCCTCCTCCTCCTCCTCCTCCTCCTCCTCCTCCTGCTCCTCCTCCTCCTCCCCCTCATCCTCCCGGTGAGCGGGTCGCGACCTCGTTGTGCCGCACGAGGCCCAGAAATGCCCCCCGGGGCTCCCAGGGGGCGCGAGGCGACGGGGACAACCCTGGCCAGGAGCGCTCCCGGCAGCGCCCGAGAGAGAGGCGTTGAACGTGATCACGTTCGGCGCGACCGCGCCGATCTGCATCCCCCTCAGGACAGACAGGGCTCCCTGCCACTGCCGCTGCTTGGAGTGCGCGCCGATCAGCCTGGTGAACCTCTGGCGGCAGGCGATTCTGGGGGGGAGGCAAGGATGGAGTGGGAAGAGGAGGGGAAGAAGAGAGGTGAGAGGCGCGATGCAAGAGGGGACAGGGGCGAGCCAAGGCGCGCTCGCACGACGCATCAACGGGGATGCATCTGGGGAGGGGATCATGGAGGAGGAAGAGGGCGACGACCACGACGACGACGACGACGACGACGACGACGACGACGACGACGACGACGCAGAGGAGGAGGCAGAAGAGCCTCTGGGGGTGCTCCGCCCCCTGCGCCCCCGCGGGCGCGCCCCGCCGCTGGCCCCCGCCCCGCCGCTCGCCGCACGCGCGCGCCGCGGCGCCGCACCGCCGCTGCGCCGCGCCCGCGCCGGCCGGGCGCGGGCCCCGCCGGGCCGCGCGCCGCCGGGCGCCGGCGGCAGC